TACTTAAGCCAAATTTTACAGACATCTTCATTTAAAATAGCTTCCAGCTACAACTCGTGACTTGAGTGCTATGGTTATGATTGACTCAGAAATGGGGCATTGTTAGTCAGACTCATGGTAAACAGTTACTCTCCTTAGTAAAGATGCATGAGTTGGTGATTAAGCCAGTCATAGGTTGTGGTGTAACTGCAACTCAGATAGGATGTTACCAGTGTGGGACTAACTTGCAGTTTAGCAGTCAGGGTTTCAAACTGGCATTCCCTCCTCTGGAGGATTCAGTCTCATGACACAGTTTCCTTTGCCTGGGGTTGTTTTTTGTTCTAATCTTTCCTAAAATAGAAAGTCCAACTCCTGCAAACTGAAGACTTTTTTTTTCTAAGAGTATTCTTAAAACTTTAACTGTGGGTAATAATAACAGCATTCATTTCCCTCATTAAGATTAGAGGGTTAAATCCTAGTGAGGGAGGGAAGAACCAAAGATAGGGGAAGTAATTCTTTCTGTTGACAGAGGTAAAGCTAACAAAGTATCTCAGAACTGGAGTTTTTTTTTTTTTTTTTTTTTGAGACAGAGTCTCGCTTTGTTGCCCAGGCTAGAGTGAGTGCTGTGGCGTCAGCCTAGTCACAGCAACCTCAAACTCCTGAGCTCAAGCGATCCTCCTGCCTCAGCCTCCCGAGTAGCTGGGACTACAGGCATGAGCCACCATGCCCGGCTAATTTTTTCTATATATTTAGTTGGCCAATTAATTTCTTTCTATTTATAGTAGAGACGGGGTCTCGCTCTTGGTCAGGCTGGTTTTGAACTCCTGACCTCAAGCAATCTGCCCGCCTCAGCGGCCTCCCAGAGTGCTAGGATTACAGGGGTGAGCCACCCCGCCCCCTTTTTTTTTTTTTTTTTGAGACAGTCTCGCTCCGTCACCCTGGGTAGAGCACAGTGGTGTCATCATCATTGTAGCTCACTCAACCTCAAAGTCTTTGGCTCAAGCAATCCTCCTGTCTCAGCCTCCCAAGTGGCTGGGACTACAGGCATACACCATGATGCCCAACTAATTTATCTATTTTTAGTAGAGGTGGGGTCTTGCTCTTGCTCTCACTGGTCTCAAACTCCTGAGCTCAAGAAATCCTCCTGCCTCAGCCTCCCAGAGGGCTAGAATTACAGGCATGAATCACCATGCCTGGCTGGAAGTGAAGATCTTTAATTAACTTCCTTAATTGTTAAAACAGAACCTCATTCATATTTCATCTTAAAGTATTGCTAAAAATAAGGGTAAGAGCACCAGGAAAAGATCCTAAGGCTTTCCAGACTCACTAATACATAAAACTATTTAACTGAGGGCTATGTATAATCAGAGAACCTGGAGAAAATGGTTTACTTCGCGGTGTTCAGTACTTTAAGAAGGGTCAAGAAGGCAGGCTGGGCCTTCAGCTTTGTCATATTGCCTGAGTCTTGGTGACAAAGCAGAGGATATGCATTCTGACAGTGGCTGATGATTCCTAGAAAGTGTCAGCAGTGGCTTCACAAATACAATTTATCCAATAACAAGTAGAATTATTTCAAGGAAATCATTTATTTTAATTTAACATTGCCTCCAGGTCCTGCCCACTCACCAATCTTTATCTATCACAGGGCCAGAGTTCTCTGATGACTCAACCAGCTCATCAAAGGCAAAGCTGTGGAGCAAAAGCAGTCTGGAATTTCTCAGCCCTCGTGTCCTATGGCCACACTTCTTCGTGAGGCTTGCTGCTTGCCTTCCTCTCCTGGGGGCTTTCTCCTTCCTTGATATGGACTTTACTTCCTGCCTTTGTCCATTTTGTTTTATCTCCTTTGCTGACTTCCCTTCTTCCTTCAAAGTTTATTCCATTTGGCACCTCTTTTCCTCTCAGTAGACTCTTTCTAGGGACCTCATTCATCCCATAACTTTGACCATCACCTCTACACAGATGATGCCCAAATCAGTTAACAATGGCCATGTCCTAAACACTCCATTGCTATTTCCAGCAGCCTTCTAGAATCTACTTCACAGATTCCTCAAACCAACATATCAAACTATCTCCCCACCCTAAAGATACTATTCTTCCCTATTTGCTAACACAGTTGTTTGCACCATCCACTATGTAAACCTTGTGTGCAGGGAAGAGTTAATTTTGCAGGCCCGAGACTGTCCTTAGAAAGTCCTGCTTACAAGGTTGGCCCTTGGCTGGCATCTGGGGACTTGGCTGGCAAGTCCCCTACACTGATATAAAACTTTCCTTAAATGATAAGAATGGTTCACTGTACATCAACTATTTGTACAATCAATGGGTTCATGCTGAATGCCTCTTTTCCTTCTGGAAGTCTGAAATTTTGGTAAAAGCTAGGCAGCAGGTGACTTATCTGACCAGCTCCCAATTAAAACCCTGATCACTGAGTCTCCAATGAATTTCCTTAGTAGACAACAGTTTTGCTGTCACAACTTGATTGTCCCTGGTGAATCCACTGGGAGGGGTTTCTCAGAAGCTTGCATTTGGTTTTCTCTATCTTTGCTCCATGTCCCTTTTCCCTTTGCTGATTTTGCTGTGTATCATTTTGCTGTAATCCCAACCATGACTATAACTATGTATATGATGAGTCCTGTGAGTATTCCTAGCAAATCACTGAGCCTGGGGGTGGTCTTGGGGACCCTGACATATATCTTAGTATAATTCCTAGCTCTCCTTTTTTTCTTTACCCTCTATATTCAATCAATCACCAATTATCATTTGTTCTAGCTATAAATATTTTAAAAAATATGTCCCAGTTTCTCCACCATCACTGTAGCGCTGATGCTACAACTGTGACTCCATTTGGGCACCTCTGTGCCCCTCCGCCCTCCCCCAGCAAGCAAAACCTCCAAGATTGGAGGACAGCTCCAAGCCAGCTCTGCAAGGGAGATTCTTTCTCAAAGCGAGTTCCCTCAGCTCTAAGATGGGGATAATAGTGCTTATTTCATAGGGTTGTTGTCGGGGTCAACGAAAAAATGCATATAAACTTTTTGAGATTATCTATGTAAATTGCTTAGTACTTAGCATATAATAATCCCTTTAAAATGTTAGTTATGGTTTTTATTGCTGTTATTATTAATAATCTGCAGACTCCTCACCTGGTCACTACCTGTGAAACTCAGCCAGTCCTAGCACCACAACCATTTTGTTATGAAATTAGGAATTCAGCTTCTCACTCCTAAAATCCGTAGACCCACACTAACATGCAAGCATCTCTGCCTGGTTCCAAGTGACCTGTTATTTGGGGGTGCTCTCTTCCTCTGCCTAGGTGTCCCAGTGTGGGGTACTAATAAGATGCAGCTTTCTTGTGGTTGCCAAAGATGGACGGAGCAGATGGAAGCTGGGGCCATGGAAATCTCCAGATGCCTGTTGTTACTGCTGCAAATATTTGTTTCCTACCCTACACATTCTGCAAAGCCAGCTATTTCACAGGACAAAGCTATTGCAAAGGACTGAAGAGCCAGGATTATCATAAACAATAAAAATTAAAATTAGGAATTTTCGGCTGCTCTGAGTGCAGTGTTATTTACAACTAATTGATCACAACAAGTTATAGATTCCTTTGTTCTTTCTCCACTCCCACTGCTTCACTTGATCAGCCTTAAAAATATATATATTAAAAATAAATAAAAAAGAAAAAAGTTAGGAATTTTTTATTTTCAGAATTTTCAGTAACTATCCTAGGAATTTTTGCCTAGAAAAACTTTTTGGAATCAGTACAAACATTCTCCATAGTAGAAATAATGAAGTCATAGATCCATTAGTAAAATAAAGCTTAAAGATCCATTCAGGATCCCAAACAACAATATATTTACCAACAGAGTAGAATTACTCACACTAAAATTCCATGCTATTAAAAATCACATAAGCAATAACTTCTGATTAAAAACAAACAGAAAAAAGCAGCAAAGACAAACTGAGTAGTACTTTAACTTTATTTTGAATTAGAACATGGAATGTGTCATGAAACAAATGAATGTAATGAAAAAGTTTGTAGTTCAATTAAGCAAACAATTTGCATAGGAATTGCTAGTTTAAAGTCTTAGGATGCAAAACTAACTGACTAGTGAATTAGAATAACATAAAATAAGAATCATGTACATGTGCACAAACTTTACAGTTTTTAAAATAACAGACCTTTTGTACAGTCTTTGGTAATACCATAATTTCATCTAGATCAAAACCTTCTAAGTTAGATGCCTCTTCAATACAGTAAGAAGGCCTACATATTATTAAAGCTACTGGGTTCATTTTGAGGGCTATAATATTGTTCAAAGAATATTATCCTCTTAAAACAATATAAGAAATAGGCCAATGACATGTTTAAGTGAAAAACATTAAGTTTGAGATTCATCCCATTTTGTCTTTTGGAACTTTATTATCAATACCCGTATTAATGTTTTGTTTTATATCAGTGATAAGCAACTATTTTTGGCATAAAGGCTAACTAAGAAGAAAATATAAAGCATTTCAGGCCATATTAGTAATATTTTCTTCTTCAAAATGAATATAGCTTTTTGAAATTCCTATAGGGGAAACTGTGTATTTGTACAACTTTGCGGAATAAAAGAACAACATTGAGGAAACTGGCATTGCTTTTTAGCTACCAAAATGTTTATATCTAAGTGTTTTAGCAACTTAGAGCGTTCTAATCTTTCATCCTGAAATTAGATCATAGGCTTTTGCATAGCTAATCAGGCTGTGGGCATCTCTGGGGGCTGTGGGTTGCTTATCACTGGCTTTACTAATGACATTGATCAAAATAAGCTGATTTTTGCTGCACTAATCATAAATTTTAAGAGAATACCTTCTAATTTCAAAAACTCTATTCTGTTATTTATTGAACAAAAATTCTTTGGGGACTACATTTCCCTCCATCTTTATATGTGTTTACATAGAACACTGGCTGGAAACCAGAGCAGAAAATGAACAAGAAAACTAAAGATGTGTTTAAATAACAGAAATACAAGCAGATTTTATCATGGTAGATTAAAGAAATAAAGTTTAATTTCTGTGTGTGCAGTTAGGCACTGACTGAGACATTTAGACACCACTGATTATAAAGTGCATTGAATATAAACTTCGATCCTGCTCAAAGGAATAATTCAATAAAGCTCAGTCTTCTTTCTTAGAGCAACCCAAGAACATGCATAGATGAACACTTATTAAATGCTAATAACAGTCTTTTATTATATATACTCCTGCAATAGTAACACTTTGTACTTGAATATATCACATTTTATCCAAGGACCTCAAAGTCACTGTATCAAGCAATGCAGTATTGGAAGCTCAAGATTCCACAGCATATTAGGTCTACTTACTTACAGCCTGGGAAATAGATTCCCAACAGTAGAACCAAAATAAAAGATCAAAGAGACAAGCCTAAATTTCTTGTGGTTTGTAATTTTATGAATTTCCCAACACTCCACTGGTAACCTAACATCCCTATAACATAGAGTCTAAATAAAAATGATTTTTGCATATTAGAAATAAGATGAGGATCAAATGCGACATTTGTTTTTTCTATAGTTCGACTGTCCTTCTTCAAGTAGTACATGGAGGAATGTCAGAAGTGGCTTTTTAATAATGTATGTTTACATATCATTGATTCATAATAATCATGGCTATGACCCTTGGGTAGACGAAAACATTTTCCACTCGAATGACATACATATGTATGTAAAACATGATGGATCTATATATTTTAGAGCACCTACATTTAACACAAAAGCAAAAGTGCATCAATTCATTGAAGGTTGGCCTTTGAGTTTTAGAGGAACAAAGCTTTATGTCTCCTTGTTTAGTACTGAGAACCCTGTCCATCTTAGAGTTTAAGTGAGAGACCCACATCAGCACAGCTGAAACGAGTTTCTGTGGAATCCATGAATATGCCAGGCCCCCTGGAGCTGAGTTACAGGGCAGTGTGAGAAGCCCATGGTAAGGAGTTGCAGGAAGAGGTCCCTGAGTTGCTCTGTTCTTGACTCAGTGCACAGAGCATAGCTCTTCTTTGTCAGGGACCCCCAGGGTGGCCATTCTGGGCATTTTCTTTCTTAAAAGAATTTCCAACACTGATTGAAAAGCAATTTTTGGACAATGAGGTCAAGGTTTCCACCTTTCTGTCACACAAAAAACTAAGTTAGCTTTTTCTGTGACCTTCTTTACTTCGGAGGAGACGCAATATACGTTCATTTTTGGTTAGTTCTGCCGGAAGTTTATTGGCCTGAAAGAAGAGAAGATGAGCATTAGTGAATGGTCACAGCTGGTGTGGTCCTAGGGACTCTCAAGAGGGACATCTGACCCACACTTTCTCATTCACTAATGAAAAATCTCCACTGAACTCACTGTTGTATTTTTTAAAATTTATTTTACCCTACTTGCAAGTAATGAACTCACTTTCTTCTATGAAGGCATTAAAGGTCTTCTTTAAATGTATAAATATTACTTGTTATTTTCTTATCTCATTGTTAGAGATATTTTTCTATCCAGCCAGTTCCCTTAGTAGACTGTAATCTCCTAAAGGGCAGGGTCCAGGTCTAATTTGTCATTCCTTCCTTATCTCCAGCACAATGCCTAGCATGTCTAGTAGGTGCTCAATAAATACTGGTCAAATTAAATTTGATACCTTATATTAAATTAGTTTATTACATGTAGTAGTCTGTCTGCTAGGGACTCAGGATGCAGGACAGGAAGAATTAGAAGATGTCCAGAGCATGAGAGATGCCTGGGAAAAAACAGCTTCAGTGGCTAAAATGTTCCACCCAACCCAGCGTCACTGTCAGTCCTATCTTGTCACAGTGCTGCTGAGATACATTCTTTAAGCATTTAGTGAGCCAGCCAGCAATAGGTGTTATGGGGCAGTGGTTCTCCAACTTTTTGTTCTCAGGACCTCTTTACACTCTTAAAAATTATTGAAGACTCTAACAAACTTCTGTTTTTATTAGAAATTAAAACTGAGAAAAAATTTAAAATATATTTATTAATTCATTAAAATTGTAAATGTAGTACAAGTTAATACATTTATGACAAATAACTACATTTCAAGAACAAGAAAAAATGACTGAGAAGAGAGTAGCATTGTTTAAAAGTTTTACACCTTTTTTTTTGAGACAGGGTCTCACTCTGTTGCCTGGGATAAATTGCAGTGGCATAATCATAGCTCACTGCAACCTCACCCTCCTGGGATCAAGCAATCCTCCTGATTAAGCCTACCAAGTAGCTGGAACTACAGGCATGTGCCACCCTGCCCAGATAATTTTGTTTTCAAGTTTTAGTAGCGATGGGGTCTCGCTATATTGCCTAGGCCGGTCTCAAACTCCAGACCTCAAGCAATCTCCCTGCCTTAGCCTCCCAACGTGCTGGGATTACATGTGTGAGCCACCATGCCCTGCAGAGGAGAGGCTGTTAAAAGATAGAAAGGCACACAGAATGGAGGAGGGTGTTTGGATACAGATGTTTCCTGTCTCATACATTTTTTTCTCCTATAGCCAAGCCTGGAACCCTAGTTGCTTTATCTGGAACCTTGATCCTAGGTGGAGTTTCTAGGTTGGATCCTGCTCTCTGATCCCCACCTGCTGGTTGGGGCATTGCTTGTTGGAATTACGAAGTTGCCACAGAGGTCTGCTGTGCAGCATGTCCTGCAGCTGCAGCCCTGCCCACCACATGGCACCCTTGATACTGATGCTTGATTCGATCAGACAGCAAATTGCTGTGCTATGCTACTATAGACCAGGGCCCCTCTGTGGGGTCAAATTCTACTAGTAGCTTAGCTCCTGCAGGAATAGACATTGTATAGACCTAACACCTAGGCCTGCAGAGATATGCTCCTGGTAAACTGATCTCAGCTTCATCCAGTCTTAGAGTAAACACTCAGGAATGACTGAGCTCTCTACATCAGTTATTAGTCCTTGGTGAGCATGAGGGTCTACCGCAATCAGGAAGAAGGGAGCTAAAGTACTTTGTCTATCAGCCTGCTGTCTTGTTGCCTTGAGTGATCATCTCCGAGAATGTCCATATTCTTTGCTATTAAACAAAGCTTTACACCCTTAAACTGTGTTGTCAATCACATCACCATTGTGTGTGTCATCCATGTAGTTCTAGAGACCTGGTCTAAACCCTTTCTCTCCCAGTTGGTCCCCACTGAGTTTGTAGGTTGCTGAGGCTGTGTGGGCCGTTGTGACGGCCAGTGCCCCAGGATAGCCCCTATTGGCCATCGACAGCATCAAAACCGCTCTATTTCCCCACTGTTCCTGGGAGGAGATGTGTTCTGAGTACTTAGTCAGGGGTGTTGGGAACACAAGACCTCTGTACCCAGGGGGATGGCTGTAGTGTGAGGAGTGGCTAATGGGGTCATTGGTCAGCCCTCTCCTCAAGCATCTGCCTTGAAGCCTCAGGACAGAAGTCCTGTAACTCCTAGAGCAGAAGAGTGTTTTCGGACTAGCTTAGAAGTCACTTTGCCTGGGAAGCCTGCAATAGCCTTCTTTACTTCTCTGCTCAAGCTCTTGTCACTCTGCATTGCAATTGCTTGTTTAATTATCTTTACCCCCCACTAAACTCTGACCTCCCTAAAAGCAGAGACTTTGTGAATTTTATTCACCATTGTATCCCCAGCACATAGCACAGTGGGTAGTGTCTAGTAGGTGCTCAATGTTTGTGGAAGAATGAAGGCTAAGAATAGCCCTTCAAGAGTCCTGAGTAGCAGCTGAAATCCCAGCACTCTTCCTTCTGGAGCTGCCATTAAAAAGATTGGCCTCTATGGGGTGGCTGGTTGGGTGGGTGGGAACTTCCCTGGCAGCTACCCCCAGGTTTCTAAGGGCTTCTGCAGTACGGGGCTCCAACATGAGTACCCACATACATATTCAAGTAGTTTTAGGGAGAGTCCAAAGTCCAGCATTTTGTCAACTGGAAATTACCCATAATCATTACTGCTGATGGTTATTCCATTATTCTAGGAGATACACAGGAATTGCATCTTTCAGTTTCTATAAAAGTTACTAACATTTCCCCCTTGCCTTAATTCAGTACTGGATAGCTCACCAACAAAGATTGATCTCTTTAGGAAGTCTGTGTACGAGTCTAAAGATAAGATCTGAGGAAAGGCCCATTGTGACTTCAACTGGCTTATCACCCAGCCGGGCCAGCTAATGGGAAACAAATCAAAATACCTCAGGAGCAAGAAGCAGAAATGCTATCTTCAGGCAATTCAATGGTAGGAGTGGGGAAATAATACTTCTACATGCTAAGTAAAAGGAAAAAAGTTACCCCTGGCATGTTGTTTCATTGGCACTGCCTAATGATTTCTTTTTGAAATGTCATGAAATAGTATGTTTTTGTTTTTTTAATTAGAAAATTTAACACATAACAGATGCTCATAAAAATTCAATGAGTATGTAAGTATAAAGTGAAAGCTGTTTTTCATGCCTTCCCCTATTAATAAGCATCAATCCCACTTCCTCCTTCAAAAGCTGGTAGATTAGTGTGTTTGCTCGAGACCTTTCCTAGGGTACCCTCCTCCCCTGCAATCTGCACAGGTGCCAGCTTAAGCAGATGTGGAATAGGAGGAAGTACAATGACAATCTTGTTAGTGTGTACCCTCCCACCTGCAAGTTTGGCCTAATTGTAAATTAAAGATTTAGAACCAGAAAAAAAGATGGTTTGGTTTTGTAACAGTGGCATGGACGCCTATTAACAATATAAAGGCAACATTTTCCCCTATGTAGTCACCAAATATAGCACAAGCTATTCTCAAGATGTGAATGTCCAACTCATGGGGACGGTGATAAACTATCAGAACTTGGACATTTTTAGGGTATGTCTTGGATGATAGAACAATACTTACTCCCATCATGACTGCCCTCCTCTTTCCCCCCACCTCTGCCAGGAGGCTGCACCATTGTTAACTGAAAACCATTGATGGTAACAGGGTTTTCATTCAGTACAATTCCCTGGGTCCAAGTGTACTGCTCATTAATCACCTACTCATAGCAACCCTGCACGCATTATTATGCTCCAATTCAGGTTGGATAATAAGCAACCCTGTCCTTATTATGCAAAGAATGAAGATGGTGACTGGAGCCAGAGAGATGTTTATCCTGACTTAGGAGGACGCTGAGAGGGTCCCGAAGGAGTTCAACGATGGGTTAAAGTAGGTACCTTGTTTCTCAGGGACGGGTCTGCCCCTGCTTCCAGGAGCAAGGCCACTGTTTTGATATTCCCGCTGAGCACTGCTGCGTGGAGCGCCGATGTCCCATTCTAAGAGAAAATGACAGTGTGTATCAGGAGGGAGCTCATGGTCACTAGCACCTAGCTGGGCTTTCATCATAAACCATCTATAACATCAGAGCCTTAATCTTCCTTATCATGCCTCGTACTTTTCAAAGTCACACCAGCACCTATGTAGTGTCCTCAGGTACACTGCCAGTGGACAGTGTAAACATTGCTAATGTTCTTTTGCAAGTGAAACAAGGAATCTGGCCCAGGGAGCATATGACTTCATGGCTACTCAGTCAGATTTATACACTTTAGAACTTGCTGCAGAAAAAACAACAATGCTGTGCCAACATTCTTGTTCTTCAAGGACAACACATACAGTCTTTGTGGTTTTGGTGAGCTACTTCCAGCAAGGCTGGAGCAATGGTTGCTGGGCCAATGGGCCAACCAGTTAGCCCAGCTACAGAAACCCCACCCCCTGGCGGGCAGGAGAGTGAGGCTGGAGTCACTGGGCTTCAGGGGAAGAGGAGTATGTGGGGTAAGGCAATGCCCCGAGGCCTGAGTTGGACCATTTCTGAGCACAGAAGGTCCTTGTAGATGGGCTGCTGATATTTTATGAAATTTACTGCAAATATTTATTGAAATAAGAAAGCAGCTATATGTAGCATGTAGCTGGACCAGGAAAGGAGGCAAAGAGAATATAACCAACTAATATAAGAACAATGTGCAGTTATATGACACTGGTTCCAGAGGGTACATATGTCTACAAACAATACCTAAATGTAAGCTTAGATTTCTAATTAATTAGTCATAGTAAAAATCACTCTGATTTTGTAAAAGACTAAAATATCATATCTAGAGAAAAATTCCCAGCAAAGTAGCATTCTTCTATGGTGGCTTCTATAATATATATGATAACTCACTAATCTGGTAACATTTCACTTATCTAAATCTTACTCAACCTGTCAACTTCACCTAATCAAAACATGGCTAAGGATAAAAAGCCAAGCAAAAAAGAACCATTTGAAATAAGACTAGATTTTGCAAAGTCCATTTCTAAGGCTGTTCCTTTTGTTCATAGAATTGACTTTCATTGATGGTTTATTCTTACTTTACAAACAATTTCAACAAGTGCAGCTTTCTGGCTTCCAAGGTGATGGAAGACTAGGAGTAGCTCATTAGGACAGGAGAGAGGGACCAAAACCACACCGACAACAGCAGTTCTGTATTAGCTGACAGCAAGAATGGAGTTTAAAAATATGAAGAGCAGACACAAAAGTGTCCATAAAGCTTCTGGTGTCATTTAAGGGCAAGTAGATTTTATATACATTGATAAACCCTGAGGACACAGACCCAAAACTGCTAAGCCACTGTGTCAACTTAGAACAGATTTTGTGTCCCCTATTTAAGAAAACAGGAGAATATATCATGGGGGTCAGCAAACTGTGACCTGTGGGTCAGACCTAGCCCATCACCTGTTTGTGTATGTCCTGCAAGCTATGAGTTCTCTTTACATTTTTAAATGACTTTATTTGTATTTTTTTTTTTGAGACAGAGTCTCGCTTTGTTGCCCAGGCTAGAGTGAGTGCCGTGGCGTCAGCCTAGCTCACAGCAACCTCAAACTCCTGGGCTCAAGCAATCCTTCTGCCTCAGCTTCTGGAGTAGCTGGGACTATAGGCATGCACCACCGTTCCCGGCTAATTTTTTCTACATATATTAGTTGGCCAATTGATTTCTTTCTATTTATAGTAGAGACGGGGTCTCGCTCTTGCTAAGGCTGGTTTTGAACTCCTGACCTCGAGCAATCTGCCTGCCTCAGCCTCCCAGCGTACTAGGATTATAGGCGTGAGCCACCATGCCCGGCCTTTAAATGACTTTAAAAAGATTAAAAGAAGAATATTTTGTAACATGTGAAATTATGAAATTCCATAAATACATGTCCATAAGTAAATAAAGTCCTGTGGAAATGCAGCCACATTCTTTCTTTCTTTTTCTGTATTTTCTATGGCAGCTTTCCGGCGATTGTGGCAGAGTTGAGCAGCTGTGATGGAGATTCATACGGCTCACAAAGCCTAAAATATATACAGTCTGGTCCTTTACAGAAAAAGTTTGCTGACCCCTGATATGTACTATAGGTTAGAAATATTTTAATCCAAATGATTAAAACTTAAAAAAGAGTATGGGGGCTCTATTTTATAGGAGACCCAGGTCTCCAGACTAACATATTTTTTAAGGCTTCCAGGAGTTTCAGGCTTATTTTATTTCACTTAGGGGAACACAGCAGGGTGGTTCTTTGCTCAGGATAATGAAGAGAAGGAACATAAATGTTTGCTCTTCTTCCTTCATTGGAGAGATCCTCCAAATGATATCAGTATGGTTTACTTTACAACTTAGTAACTTCATTACTATTGTCTAATTGTTTTTCTCTGGAAAACTAGGCAGTGACAGACTCTAGTTCACTCTTTTTATGACCTTCCCATTTCTACCAGTGTCCATGGATCTCCAGCTTTAAAAAGCTGTAGGTGTGTTCTTTCAAGACTACTACTAACCAGGCTAATTATACCCAGATTCTACTGCAGTCCCCAAATACGGACTTCTTCTCTTCTAACCTCTCCCTTTTATAGATTGGTAAAATTTCTCTTTAGGTCTTACCTTCAAAATACCAAGAGAAGGTGAGAACTTAAGCAACTCCTCTATGACATCATTATATCCTTTGTTGGCTGCTTTCAATAATGCTGTTGTACCGTCCTTGGCAAAAAGAGGAAAATAAAAGTTGATTATTAACATATGTCTGCATTGGCTGAGAACTAAATGTCAGTTGAGAACTGGGAGTAGGATTGTCAGAAACAGGCAAAATGTGTAAATGAAACACAGACCAGTAAGATGACTTAATCTAGGGGCATTTTAGAGCATATCAATTCTGCGTGAAAGAATATCAGACCAAATAAGTGACTGTTTATATTATCTTAGAACCCTGGCATTTGGGAATTCATACTCCTCCAGTCCTTTAGAATGCTGGGTAAGGGACAGGAGAATTTCAAGAGCCTATTTTTAGGGCATTGATGGACCAAAGAGGCGTTCTCTACTGTTCATGACTAAGCAGAAATTGTTTAACTGTCTTTAATGATTTAAATTATTGTTGAACTGTATTTGCTGTTTTAAACATTTATGCAGTCTTGCCCTAGTCTGCCCTAGGCATCCTACTTGCCTGTGTGCATGGGGCAGGGGAGGACTAGGAGAGATAGATTGAAAACCACTAGAAAAGAATGCAAAGACAAATCCAAAAATGAATATTCAGCTTCTGTCATTAGTTTTTGGCTCAAAAAGAGATTTTCCAAATTCTTTTTTTTTTTCCCTCATAAAGACCAGGGTCTCACTCTGTCACCAGAGTGGAGTACAGTGGTGTAATTATAGCTCACTGCAGCCCAGAACTCCTGGGCTCAAATGATCCCCACTCTGGCCTCCCCAAACTCTGGGATTACAGGAGTGAGCCACCACTGGGCCTGGCGTTCAGATTCCTTCTCTAACTATCAGTGCTGTGTTTGGGAGATTTAGCTCACAGAGTTCACAGTAGTCAAGGGACTACCTCAGCCTGCCATTAGGGCTTATCACCAATTAGGAAGAAAAAAGAAGGGATTAGTGGATTTTTGTTTCCTGGCGTCAGAGACTGTGGAAAGAAGAAAAAGTAGGAGAGAGGGCAGTGAAGTGGCCAAGAATGTGTCCTCCGATCTCCTTTTTCAGGGCTCGGACTTGGAGAGGGGAAGGTGGATCCCACAGGCAACGGTAATACAAAGGCAAAGAGGCCAGACACAGTAAAACACAAAAAGCAAGCGGCACAGTGCGGCCAGGCTCTCCCCAACCGCCCTTGGTGGTGACACCAGCAGAGGCTAGAGGAGACCACGGGCCGAGCACAGGGTGCAGGAGGGAGGCGGAGGCGGAGGCAGCAGGGCGCTGCTAGACCCCAAACCGCAGGCCCGCACGGCCCCCGCTGCGCCGCGGCCAGGGGCCAGCAGGAGGCGCGGCACCAGCTGGGCGACAGCTCGCAGGGGAGCCCCGCAGGACGGCCCGCGGCCGCGTCTCCCGCGGCCCCTCTTCCCCACCGAGGCTGGCGCCACCCTCTCCAGTTCGCCCAGAAGTCGTCTGGGGAGGAGGACAGAGACCCGGCGGCTGCGAAGCCGCCCGCGACCGTGTCTTCCTGCTACGGAGCAGGCGGAGGCTGGTTGGAAACCCAGCTGCGGGCTAAGGACAGACCCCGTTTTCTCCGCGCACGGGCGCCCCCCGGGCACTCACGTTCCGCGTGGCGTCGCGGTCGGCTCCGCGCAGCAGCATCACCCGCACCGCCTCGCTGTGGCCCATCTGGGACGCGATCCACAGGGGCGCCGTCCCGTCCTGCGGGGAGAGGGGGCGGCGGCCACGTGACTGCGACGCTCGGGCCTCCGGGTCGTCGCAGCACGTCTTGGTTAGCACCAAGTTTCCGAAACTGAAAACCCGGGGAAAGGTCCCTGACCGCAGGTCACACTTGCCGGCTGGGTCACACACCCAGGAGGAACTGAGAGGAGAAGAGAGTGTTTTTAACCCACGGACACGGACTGGCATCTGGCAGGGCCTGGACTACTTGGGTAATTGCCAGTATTCAGTATTCGGCTTATAAAGCCAGCCACTTTACGGCTGGATCCTTTACCAAAAAGTGTGGCACAGACTTCGCACAAGGCTCAGGGCTGGATTGCACACCACGGCAGAAGCAAATTCCACAAACCCAGGGAGGAGCCAGCCTATTTCCATCCCCCAAAGCTCTGTCAATTTCTTTGCTTTCCTGGTGGGTCACAGTCACCTTAAAGTTCACACCTTACAGCCTCAGTGGGGGCCCCTCATTCCCATAGAAAAGCGGGCAGTTTCCTTGGAGATGGGATCTGAGCGTCAGAGAACGCAAGGCATTTCTCCTACTCTTTTATTTTGGTGTCCAAAACCCTTCATAGCTGCATCACTTTGTTAGGAAGCTTAGATTAATTTTGTGTGGAATGTTTTGTTGCATCTTCTAGGAAGTGACATGCATTAACTAGTTATAGCAGGACAACATTTTGGGGAATATTTCCTGTATATTATTACTGAACATCCGTTTTTCCATGAGCACTAGGCCACGAGGCTCCAGAGAAGAAAAGGTGAAATCCACAAGGCACAGAGAACAACAGTAGGGTGGTTCCTGCCAGACAGAATGGAAACTGGAAAGTCCTTCTACTGCAGGTAGGAGCTAGAGAGGGCCGGGGAGGCAGTCGGATGTGAGTGTCCATATCTTCCCCCTGCTCCCCTCTGCTGCCCACTTAAATCTGGGGGTGGACTGGGATTGGGAGGAGGTGAGCTGGGGGCGGTTGAAATACTCAGATAAGTTATGGGGAATTCCAGATAGGGAAGGATTTTTGCTTTTTCTTGGGATTAAGCCCAGGAAAATTGTAAGCCCCCTAGAGAGGCTCTGCCTGAGAGATAGAAGAGAAATGGCTGTGGCAGTTGTCAGGGCCAGTAGCCTGAGATGTCCCCAATCCCCATGGCCCACGTCCACTCTGCATCAGGGCATCCAGAGTTCCTGTCTGCCTGTGGGAAACTGGAAGTGCCCGGGGTTGGCAAGGCAAGGCCACACGGGGTCAAGACTTCCTGAGCAGAGATGGTGGCAGGGCCAGCACTGTGTGGGACCCGCTGTGTCCCTGGGGTACCACTGTGGGATGCTTAGGCGCCAGAAAGGCCAGCACAGGGGCCAGACATGAGTCTCCCCACCCCCACCCCAATGCAAGGGTGACAGTCGGACTCTGAGAACTTAGGTCACTTTGGAGGGAAGGCCAGGAGGGAGCAGGATCCAGAATTGGCTAAACTTAAGCTCTGAGGTAATTATAGTAATATGGCCTCCAGAGCCTGTTTTAGCCAGATAAGACTGAATTACCCATCAGCGGGAACAGGGGCTGGAGAGCAAAATGATTCAGTCATGGAATATAAAGTTACGTTTTCTGCTGTAGTGTGTAATTTCAACCCCTGCCTACTAGCTGAAGCAGGCACAGGATTATTGCCCATTGCCATCCTGGGCAAGTGTCAGAGGACAAGACACCTGAGTGGGGTGAAGGAAGATGGCACTCAGCAGCCCAGGGAGATCTGGGGTGCTGGGGATGGTCAGAGGATGTTGGCACCTCTGTCTTGGGAGAGACAGGGGAAGAGGTGCTGAAACAAAGGATGGAGGAAGGCTGATGACACTTTGACCTATTTCATGCTTTTTTAGGGGCCTCTTAGAATATTCTTGAATCTGAATATTACTTATCATTAGCAATGATAAATAATACCTTAATTTGTACTTTAGTTTACAAAGCATTTGCACATTCTTTATTTGATTCTCCCAATTAAGGATTCATTTATTCATTCAAGCAACCAACAATTGTTAAGCATCTTCTAAGTCTCAGGCAGAGTACTCAAAACAAACAGTGGAGCGGACATGGACATTTCAGTATGCTTGCCCCCCTACAATAAAGTGTGGACAAATGCACAAAATGAACCAGGAGGGGACCCTCTTACTGTGTGGGGATTACAGGGTCAATGTAAAAAGGACCAGGGTTTTGACAGGTGAGAGAGAGGAAATTCCATGTAGAAGAGCAGCAGCAGCTATAGTCACAGTGGTTGGACAGGCAGGGCGGGAAATCCAGCTGCCCTGGCACACAGGGTGTGGGCAGGACCAAGTGGTCTGGGCTTGACAAAGGCCTCAAATATTGCCAGGTTTTCTGGCACTCAGGTGCTAATGCACCTTTCCCTCCATGCCTGCTTTGGGTCCATTTTGTTCTGTATTACTATCTTTACCAGATGGCAGGAAGGGAGGGGCAGCCGGTGGCCTGTTAGATAAGCTTTTCAAGGGCTCGCTTGGTTGTTACTAGTGCAATTGTATTAATTGATACTAATATGTGGGAAAGTGCTGAGAGGTGCTATATTGTGAATTTTTAAAACTATTACCAATGTATAATGGCAATGATAACACTCTTTAACTGGAATAGTCATGGTAGGTGGAAAAAGCAATCGTCACTTCCTGGTTGTAAGACCTTAGGCAAATCACTCTTAGCCTCTGTGTCCGCTTCTACAGAAATATTAGCTTCACAGAGATATTATTAAAAGAGAAAACATATATAAAGCTGGTGAGCACCAGGACTGGCTAATAGAAGCCTAGAAAATGTTAACAGAATCTGAGTACTATTTATCATGAAAAGCGATGTCTCTTAAAATTTGTACTTTTGTTGACAAAACACTTCCATATGGTTTATCTCATTTGGTTCTCCCAGTGACCCTGTGAGATAACTGATTGGTGTGCAGGTAGGAGTGTTGGGTAAAATGAGATTTGGGGGCTTGCCTGTGTATTTCTACACTGATTACTTCTCTAAATCTGATTTTTGAGCCCAGAGAGTTGCATGTGAGTTAGGGCATTATTTCCAAATCTAATTATTTATCATTGATTATCTAGTTTATGAACTAGGAGAGGTTTTCCTCTTCTGTACACCTTAATTTTTTCTCTTATTTAATGGTCAGAGCTTTTATTTTCTTAATGAAAATGATGAAAATTAAGTCAATTTAGCCCCTTTTTGTAGAGTTTTAGAAAGAACCGAAATGGGAAAAATATTTTAAAATATTTAAATATGTTCTTGAATACTTCTTGACAAAAATATATAGTTATTTTAATAACTTATGTTAATATAATATGTTGAATATGTAAAAAATATATATTAAATATGTAAAAAATATATACATATTTAATATATTAAATATGTAAAGAATATATATTAAATCAAATCACCACAAAGTTACAACCTCTATGGCACATTTTTTTAAAAGGAAAGAGAACTTTTTTTTTTAAAAGGAAAGAGAACAGTTAGCCAGATAATATTCATGGCTTATGATAGCTGTCCTTTGCTATTTGTTGTGCATATCAAGTGGAACAAAATTTAAACTAATTCTGTAGACCAAGTGATAAAGAGGTATGATGGCTGAAAGCTACACAGAGACTTGGGGTCAATGTCAGAAAGAAGGTATAACAAGGGATGGCTAAAGACTAAATAAGCTGATCAAACAGTAATGTGTTCCCACACCTAGGAGTGTTCAACAGTGACTGATTATTATAGAAAGGATTCAAGGACTGATAGATAGTTGACTTCTATAGTTCCTTCCAAATCTGTTAGCCCTTCATTCTATTTGAGATAATATATTAATATTCAAGTAAACTTTAATACATTTTTATAGCTAGATTATAGCATGAGATGGACTATATGACATGACCTATATTGGATATTTATCTTATATAGTTTTACCTAGTCCTGAGATTATTTAGAAAAAGAACAAACCATTCTCTTCCATAGGAATGAGTATCTGAAGAGGCTTTAGCTCTTTGCTTCCACTGCCTTCCACACCTCACACTCGGGATACTTCCACCCACATGCTCAGAGCAGACAGAAAGTCTTGGGGACTAGTCCTATTATAAGTTGGGGGCCCAGGAGATGTACTGGACCCCACCAGTAGCAGAGGGATTTCAGTACCTAGATATATTTGCTACCAGCCCTACCCTGACCTGGAGCCTATTTCACATAATCACGTCCCTGGTACAGCAAATGGGTCTATAAAAGATGTTACCAGATGCCTGTACTGCCCAAGTCTGACCCCACTGCCCTTGGTCACAGGTGATGGGACCAAGGATGAGCAGGCCAGCCAGTCACTGTGGCTTGGTGCACAAAGATGAGCTGCAACAATGACATAGCTATCCCAAGAGTTTGACAGAATGACCTGCAAACTTGGGGACTATATATGAGATATGTAAGCAGAAGAAGCTGGTCAATAAAAAGGAGTGGGAGAAAGAGAGATAAGAAGAGACTTTGAGATGACAGAGACGACCTGGCTCACAAGAAAAAGTGCAACCCTGATTTCTGATGGGTTTTCTTTTCCACAAGGCCTGGATGGAATAGAAATGATAATAATAGCAATACCTAACATTACTAAGTACCTGGTGTATATCAGCCCCATGCATTGAGAATTTTGCAGGGATTATTTTAGCTCTCACAATAAACAATTTTTTAGCTCTCACAATAAATAATAAATAATTATTTTAGCTCTCACAATAAATAATTATTTTAGCTCTCACAATAAATAATAAATAATAAATAATTATTTTAGCTCTCACAATAAATAATAAAGGTACTATTATTATTATTTTGGTTTAACAGATAAATAAACTGAGATTCACGGAAAGTAAGTGACTTGCTCAGGGTCATGCAATTAACAAGCAAAACTGGAACTGTGTTTCACTTCCTTAAGATATCCACATCCCCATAAGTACCAAGCTGCTCCCCACCAAGAGACTGGAGTCTGGCTCCCTAACTGCCTCTGATACTCTTCCTCTCTTCCTGGAGCCAGTGTCCTGCCCATGGGCCTGGGCCCTCTATCTGGAGCTGCCTTCTAGTTCCCAGCACTGATCACAATGTGCTGCAGGCTTCTCGACCTCCTAGGTGCTCTGCCCAAGCCATGGGGATCTCCTGGCAGTCAACACACCTTTTCTGAGTGTCTACCACAGGCAGGGGAATAAGATGGAGTCGCTGCCCCTGACAAGCAGTAGGGTCTTCCTATGGCTGTCTGCTCCCATCCCCAACCCAATGTGTTGGCTCTTCCTTCTCCTCCCTTTGGCTGGGTTTACCCCTCTGAACTTGCAATCTGGGAGAACATTTACTTTCTGGGCCCCAGCAACTCAGCACACAAGTCCAACCCAAGGTGTCTGTTAGAGGAGGCACTTTATTAGATGGCTTTTCTGCCAGGTTTCATAGAAACACTAATTAGCACATTCAAAGGACTAGATAGATAGAGATGAGTTGTGACTGGCCAACCTCAGCTCTGGGGAAACAGAGTCAATCTTTGCCGCTCTATAGAAGTACCGTTTTAATAAGGTGGGTGAGTTGAGTTGGGAAAAGTGTATGTCAAGGCATTTTGTTGACAGAAATATAGAAATAGCCATCTCAGTTAGTAATTCAAAAAGGTTTGACTCATATCAACTCTACTTGGTAAAGACACATGGAAAGAAATGAAAATGAGTTTTTAGAGGGATTATAGATTTCAAATATCTCTGTGACTCTTGACCTCTTTACCTAAAACAATGTGGACGAAAAATGTTTCAAGCTTTAAATCAAGAATGCAGTCTTTCCATCATCTGGCTATGGCTTGTTTTGCAATTATGATTCCTCATCACAAAGTACTGAAAAGGTCTCCATTTAGTTTTCAGTGATAGAGTTACAAAGAAAAGTCATACCCACTGCAGCTCAGATTCCCTGTGGCTCAGATCAAATGTCAGCTAAGTAATTTCAATACAACTTTGTTAACATCCTGTTACAGGACACTGTAAAATGGCAGGACTCCATAAATTGGCAGTGCAACAATTATAAATCAGATTTATCTAAAAAATATTAAGAAATTAAACCAGACAAATATTCTTGTCTTCGTTTTGTAAATTTAAGAATTTTTTTGATAATAACTCAATGTGTCAACTGAGATTTCAGAATAAAACATTGGTTTCTAGATGTCCTATCTATATAATATTCTATCATGTGTAGGCCACTTTAATGGAAACTTTTTTTTTTTTTTTTGAGACAGAGTCTCACTCTGTCGCCTGAGCAAGAGTGCTGTGGCATCAGCCTAGCTCATAGCAACCTCAAACTGCTGGGCTCAAGCGATTCTCCTGCCTCAGTCTCCCAAGTAGTTGGGACTACAGGCAAGCACCACCACACCTGGCTAATCTTTATATTTTTAGTAAACATGGGGTCATGCTCTTGCTTAGGCTAGTCTCGAACTCCTAAGCTCACGAGATACTCCCGTCTCAGCCTCCCAGAGTGTTAGGATTGTAGGCATGAGCCGCTGCGTGCGTCCAGCCTAATGGAAACTTTTAATTAGACTTTTTTTTTTTTTTAAACCTCCTTATAACTTGTGACAAAGTCAGCCAGGACTGATATCACTTTAGTCATATTTATGGCACTATTTATTTTCTTGGAACAGAATAAATATGCAGAGTTTACACTTTCAGAGAAGACAGAGCTTGGACTAGTCTGACCTGTATAGATAATAGCCCTTAATTATAAGCTCACAATAAGTAGTAAAAATTATGATGATTTTGGGGCACAGTGGGGTGAGTATACTCTATAAGAAGGAAAAAAATCCCATTTTTTTTTCCTCAAAGCAATTCTTATTTTATAAAACATCCTTTTCCTGAATGGGAATTCTTTCAGAGCTGGAATCTTATAATAATTGAAAACAATTGCATTAGATGCAGTCTTTGGAAGGCACAGCATTTGCTCCTTGACCAGAGGGTGGGTTCTCACATTCAAAAACCAGGCCATACACTTTGACCAGGTTAGCCTCACTCTTGAGAAATGAAAAACAGCTGTGCTGTGTTGTGGCTACGGCTGCAATGTTGGTTTACTCTTTGACTTCATGGCTTCAACGTCATCCTGTGACTCATTTTAGGCTTAAGCGGGTACAACTCATGCAATATTTGAAATGTAATCTTTTATATCAACTTGTATTTTTACAAATAGCACTTTAAGCATATAAAAAATAAAATGTATTTTACAAATATATTTGTCAAAGTTCCAGAAATTATTTCAGAAGGATATACTAATAGAATTGATAATCTTGATAATCTCTCATTTTTAAATTCATAGTGGTGCCTTCAAGAATAGCCTCCAAATCAAATTTACGCAATCTAAAAATAACCAATTATTTTTATTAATTTTGGTAAAATGAAGCCTCTGATTCAGAATCAATCAACAATATCAAAATAAAAAGTATTGGTAAGAAAGTCTAATGAGCTGGGGTTAGCCTGGGATGTAGGTAAACAGAAGCAGGTCAGGTGGCCTTGCCTCTGCCCAGGCCCTGTGCCAATACACTGCCTTACCAGCCACCACCCAGAGGTGACCACCCCTTCTCCCACCCAGCAGAAGAGGAGCCCATGCTGTTGGAATCATTGGTAGGTCCTGCATTGTCATCTCTCACAATTATAATGCTGTTGAGACTTCATTTACCAACAGCAAGTGAACATCTGGCAAATCAATTAACTGATACTTAAAGGAACAGAAATATTAGACTCTAGTCCCAGAATCAACTCTGGCAGGTACAGAAGTGAAACTTTTCCTAAACTGCTTCCTTTTGCAGGAGTATTCCTGGGGCCATCTAAACCTAAGAATATCTTTAAAATTCTAAAAATATAATCTTACACTGATAGCACTGTTTGGCACATGTCAAACGCTCAAGAAATACTGGTTGAAAGTTGAATATAACAATTATCAAAAATTTGGGAGCTTGAAGAGATCATCAGGCTCATCCTGCCCAGCCTCCTAATTTTCAGTGAAGGAAGAGAGGTCCAGAGAGGGTGATTCACTAGTTCAAAACCACACAGCCCTAGTTATTTATTTATTTATTTTTTTTGAGACAGAGTCTCGCTTTGTTGCCCAGGCTAGAGTGAGTGCCGTGGCGTCAGCCTAGCTCACAGCAACCTCAAACTCCTGGGCTCAAGCAATCCTGCTGCCTCAGCCTCCCAAGTAGCTGAGACTACAGGCATGCACCATCATGCCCAGCTAATTTTTTCTATATATATATTAGTTGGCCCATTAATTTCTTTCTATTTATAGTAGAGACAGGGGTCTCGCCCAGGCTGGTTTTGAACTCCTGAGCTCAAACGATCCTCCCACCTCGGCCTCCCAGAGTGCTAGGATTGCAGGCGTGAGCCACCACGCCCGGCTGCAGCCCTAGTTATTAACAGAGCTGGATCTAGAACTCACGATTCCTGACCTCCAACCCACTTTGGCCAAAGGTTCCTTATGTGCTTGGGCTTCTAAAGACTGAAGAAGTCTGTGGCCAAGAGCTCAGATTAAGCTTAAGGCTCCCATAGCTATTCATTTTGTGAACGCACAGGCATTCCCGTATAAGGTCATATTACGGTGGAGACCTGCCTGGGTCTCATTTACTGGTAAGAAATCAGCTTTGCTTTTCCCTAGAATACTACCTTTACAGTAATGTTTCCTTAATCTGAAATGTTTTGTTAAAAATAAATTGAATTAGGGCAGAAACAGTACCTACACAAGAGAAGCTAATTGTAATGCCTTATGTTTGAATGGTTCTTCACTATTTCTAAAATACTGCCTATGTTATTCTTGCATTTCTGTTCCTCTAAGTATCAGTTGATTTGCCAGATGTTCACTTGCTGTTGGTAAATGAAGTCTCACCAGAATTATAATTGTGAGAGATGACAATGCAGGACCTATCAGTGATTCCAACAGCATGGGCTCCTCTTTGGATTGGTGGGAGAAGGGGTGGTCACCACTGGGTGGTGGCTGGTAAGACAGTGTATTGGCACAGGGCCTGGGCAGGGGCAAGGCTACCTGACCTGCTTCTGTTTACATACGTCCCAGGCTAGCCTAGGCTCATGAGCTCACTGCAGCCTTAATTTATTTGAACAGAAGGTGGCAGAGTGTGTACTTGACCTCAGGCACCAAACACTCAAAGTTTAAAAGCACTGAATTGTGATGTCAGCTTGATTTCACAGGCTTTGGAGTGAGCCCAGAACATAGAACAAGAGAAACCCTAATCAAAGATTAACTTTCCATCACAGAGGCAGAAGGGTTTAAAGAATGCCGCTGGCTGCCTGGTTATCTCAGGTATGTGCTGCTGCAGGATGCCCCCACCACCACCTCAGGCTCCCTGCACTCTGCAAACGGCAGCTGTGAACATTACCTGCCTTGGCTGGTTGACTTTTGCTCCTGAAGACAACAATAATCGAATGACATCCAGGTAACCACCTTGGGCAGCTAGGAAGAGGGCAGTGGCTCCATCCTGAGAGAGAACAAATTAAAAGTGTTTACAAAGTCATCTTTCACATTTATTTTATTTATTTATTTTTGAGACAGAGTCTTGCTTTGTTGTCCAGGCTAGAGTGAGTGCCGTGGCATCAGCCTAGCTCACAGCAACCTCAAACTCCTGGGTTCAAGCAATCCTGCTGCCTCAGCCTCCTGAGTAGCTGGGACTACAGGCATGTGCCAGCATGCCCGGCTAATTTTTTATATATATATATATTAGGTGGCCAATTAATTTCTCTCTATTTATAGTAGAAACGGGGTCTCACTCTTGCTCAGGCTGGTTTCGAACTCCTGACCTCGAGCAATCCGCCCGCCTCGGCCTCCCAGAGTGCTAGGATTACGGGCGTGAGCCACTGCGCCTGGCCCTTTCACATTTATTTTAAAAGAAATTAGATTAAAAATACATTCCATAAAATTTTTCATTTCCATCTCCTTTTAGGTTTCTATCCTCTTGTCAATTAACAGAGCTAAATGTTAGATAAAGACATCCTCCAAATCTAATTTTTATGCTTTGATGAATTGGGAGTAAAAGGTATCTTTTTTATTTTTATTTTATCATTTTGAGATAAGGCCTCACTCTGTTGCCCAGGCTAGAGTGCAGTGGCATCATGATTGCTCACTGTAACCTCAAACTCCTGGGCTCAATAGATCCTCCTGCCTCAGCCTCTCAAGTAGCTGGGACTACAGGTGCACACCACCATGCCCGGCTAATTTTTCTACCTTTAGTAGAGATGGGGTCTCCCTATGTTGCTCAGGCTGGAAAGGTATCTTTTAAATTAGATCTTTCCTACCCTTTTATTTTTCTTGCCCCCTATCCATGCTCCCCCAAGCATTAAAACACAAGATGTTTTCAGAAAAACTGCACTATAAAGAATCTCCACGAAGTCACTCCCTGCCAGCCCAGCAGACAACAACATTTATAAACACAAAATTGATCCTGCATAATAAAGCCCCAAGCAAGTGCTTCTTTTCCAATATTCTTTAGCTTTCTTTTAAAACTGAGTATCTACGTTTTCTGGACATTTATTTTTTTCCTGGAAACATGTAATTTGGTGCTCTTGGCAAATGTATGGGTCAGCTGAAGAGCACACATTCTCCCTGGATGCTCACTTCAGCCAGACAGCATTCAGGGCACAGAGTGAGTGTCATTGTTTTTAGACTGCAGTGGAAAACCGGAGCACACCCTAGTGGAAAACACCTAGCAAACCCAGCTAATTACCCCACTCCCGTTGGGAACACTAGCCATAAGGTAAAATACAAAACACCATTCCCTGCAAGTCGTCTGGTGGAAGGTGCTAGATTTCCAGTGGGTGTCAGCTGAGTTGCCAGACTGCCCTCAAGGCACTCATTAAAAAATTAATCAGCCTATAGAGATTTTTAAACAGATGTCTGATATGGGGCTACAATTTTCAGAATTTCTACCATGCCCTTAGCTGCTGATAACTCTCAGGAATTTTCCAAGATAGACTACCCACGCTTTGAATTTTTCACTGTGCATTACAAGTTTCATTTTCATTCCTATCCACCCATATTTCAACTAGCTTTTTGGTTTTTTGTTGTTGTTGTTGTTGTTTTTTGAGACAGGGTCTCCTTCTGTTGTCTGGGCTAGAGTGCAGTGGCGTCATCATAGCTCACTGCAACCTCAGACTCCTGAGCTAAAGCGATCCTCCTGCCTCAGTCTCCCAAGTAGCTGGGTCTACAGGTATACACCAACATGCCCTGACCTCAAGCGATCCTTCTGCTTGGGCTTCCCAAAGTGCTAGTATACAGATGTGAGCCACCGTAACTGGCCCTCAATTTTTTTTTTTTTTTTGAGACAGACTCTCCCTTTGTTGCCAGGCTAGAGTGCTATGGCGTCAGCCTAGCTCACAGCAACCTCAAATTTCTGGGGTCAAGCAATCCTACTGCCTCAGCCTCACAAGTAGCTGTGACTACAGGCATGCACCACCATGCCTGGCTAATTTGTTTTCTATATATTTTTAGTTGGTCAATTAATTTCTATTTTAGTAGAGACAGGGTCTACCCTCTTCTTCAGGCTGGTTTTGAACTCCTGACTTTGAGCGATCCACCCGCCTTGGCCTCCCAGAGTGCTAGGATTACAGGTGTGAGCCACCGCACCTGGCCTTCAATTTTTTTTTCTAATGGAAACCTCTGGGTTGTTTAGTTAAGGGTGAAATCTAAACATGAAATGGAAGTTATGATGCATGGAGTTTCTTGAATTACGTTATAAGAGACAGGAATTTTTTTCTCTATCCTGCCTTTTCTGCTGAGCGCTTCATGTATCAAATTGCCAACCTAACACCTCTATTTTCATGTTTAATCACCATCTCACGTTAGTGTGACCACGCAGAGTTCTTGGTCCTCATCCTTGCTTCCTCCTAGTCTCCCCATCTGTTTAAAAAAAACACTCAATTCACCCACGTTCATAACAAAACCCTAGAGTCATATTTAATTCCTCCCTTCCTCTTGCACTTCAAATCCAACCCTTCAGCTCTACTTTGAAAATGTTTCTCGATGTATCCGCTGCACCAAGCCATCGTCGTCTCCAGGCAGGACAACTCAATGGCCTCATCACTGGCTTCCCTGTTTGTGTTATATTCAGTGTACATCCCTTCCTGCTCAAACCCCTATGACGATGGCCTCTGTTTGGATTTCAAGTAAAATCCAACTCCCTGCTCTGGTCGTCTTGGCTGTCCATGGCTGTTTCCTGCCTTCATCCCTGTGGCCACATCACTCACCCAGCCCCAACACCGTGTTCCAGCCATGCCAGCCAACCTTCTGCTCCTTGAACTCCCCCAACCTGATTCCCACTTCAGTATCTTTGCACGAGTGGCTCTGTCTGCCTGCACACTCTGCCCAACCTTCAAGCGCTGCTGGCTCCTCAAATGCTACTTCCTTGTGAGGCCTTCCCTGGCCACCCACTAAATTAGCCCTCTGCCTCCACTTCTGTTTTTATTCCCCTATTTCTTATGTGTGCCTTTACAAAAAATGTTAATAGATCTAGAGGATACAAGTTGAATTCCATTACAAGTATATATTATACAGTGGTGGAGTCTGGGCTTTTAAGTAATTTTTCACCCCCTCCCACCTCCCTGGGAAGTCTCCAGTGTTCCTTATACCACTCTGTGTGTCTCTGTGTAGCTACAGTGTAGCTCCCACTTATAAACGAGGACATGTGGCATTTATTTTTCTCTTCCCAAGTTACTTCACTTAGGATAATGGTCTCCACTTCCATGCGAGTTGCTGCAAAAGACATTATTTCATTCTTTCTTATTGTTGACTAGTACTCCATGGTATGTATATATGTATATATACCCCCCACATTTTCTTTATTCACTCATCAGTTGATGGGCACGTGGGTTGACTCCATATATTTGTGATTGTGAACTGTGCTATGATAAACATATGAGTGCAGGTGTCTTTTTGATACAAGGATTTCTTTTCCTTTGGGTAGATACCAGTAGTGGGCTTGTAGGATTGAATGGTAGGTCAACTTTTAGTTTTCTGAAGCTTCTCCATACTGATCTCTCTAGAGGTTATACTAATTTACATCCCCACCAACAGTGCATAAAGTTTCCCTTTTCACTGCATTCATACCATCTATTGTTTTTTGACTTTTTAATAATGGTTATTCTAATTGGAGTAAGATGGTATTTCATTGTGGTTTTGATTTGCATTTTTCTGATGATTAGTGATGTTGAGCATTTTTTCAAATGTTTCTTGGCCATACAGAGAGGAATTCACTGAGGGAAGGGGCTCTCCCCAAACTCTACATTTGTAAGATTATGTGCTACCTCAATGAACCTTAGAAAAAATATTATCTAATAAGTACAAGTTCTACCTCCACAGTCAATTTGGATTGCTGACTATTAATGGTAATGCTATGAAAATCACAATTCACTTTCCTTTTCCAAAGACTTTGGCTCTTCCTATTCAACCCACACATACAAATACTCATACACACTCTCAGAGATACTTTACCTATACACAGCCAAAGAAATATCCAAAGCTTTAAACCTGTGTTTCCTAGACTTGGCCATAAGTCAGAACCACCTTTTGCTCAAGTTGCACCCTCAGAAACTCTGGTTTTGTTCGTCTGGGGTGGGCCTGGGAACTGGTGGTATTTTTAGAGCTCCTCAGGTGATTCTAATGGGCAGCTGGAGTTGAGAATCTCTCCTAGAGATCATTATCAAGTAACTTAATTACCAGTAATTCTGTAGGCTCCAAGAATGTGCAGAGGGTAAGGCTAGTTTCTGTGAACTTCAAAGAGGTCTATGATTTGTCAGAATTAACCATGTAAACTCTGGAAAGAGTGTTCAAATGGAAAAGTTCACACCTACACAGCTCATTACAAGGCTGTGAAAGTTAGTGCCCTAGGCACAAAGGCTAAATGTCTAGTTGTTTAGAACAGCCATAGGGTTGCTAGAGAACTAAAAGTAGGAATTCTTTCACTTCTCACCATGAAACTCAGTCAAGTCAATTCATTTCCCCATATTTTTTTCCTATAAAACTAGAATAACATTTGCCATAAATCCTATGGCATTATAGTGATAGTCAATTAAAAGAGCCCTTGGGTAATGTGCTAATTGCCAATTAGCTGCAAACAGACCTATACTAGCAGGGGATGCCTTTGAAAGGTCAATGGTGTGCATATATTTCACAGGTCTTCATCCACCCAGCCTCATTTCTCTTCCAAATACCTTAATTTCTCCTCTTTGTGCCTTTCCTCACAAATAACAGGAGAATATATTTTGGTTTTCAGCAGATCCATATGCTGGGCTGGGTGGTTTATCATGGTATGAAAAAGTATGTATCACGTAATTTTTGAAGGTCTTAATTGCATAGATACATGAGACGTCTCATATGTACAACAGATTTAAAAGAAAGAACAAAAGTAGATAAATAAAAAACATAGTTTCTATTTGGAAAAAGCTCATCTGATTTACTACATCTTTTCCCCTTGATGTCTCAGTTTAAAGTCTTACTGTTCATTAAAATATTTTGAAGTTGGGATTTCTGGCATCCCAAATCAGACCAAAAAGTTATGTGTAATAAAGAATGACCAATTATCCACCTAATGTCCCCTTGAAATGCACTCACATAAAGTTGGTCATGGATGTTGGCTCCATGCTTCAGCAAGGTGTCCACCACCTGCATGTGCCCGTACTGGCTGGCAGCCAACAGGGCAGTGCCCCCGTCCTGTGGACATGCAAAGTATAAACACATTAGAGATAGTGCAGGCACATACTTTACCAAGCAGACACTCCTCACACAGGTGGAACTTTGGAAGAGAATTTTCCCATCAATAATAACGAACTTGCTTTCCCCTTTTTATCCCTTCTGCTTTTTCTTTATAAATCATGACATAGTTCATCTTAAGCACATGTAATTTTGTTGTACATCTGGATGACTTACTAGAGATATAGTTATTTGACCAAGTTATTAAGATTAAATTTAGAAAATTCCCATGCCAACTACAGAATGATCTATTTGCCTTCCACAGTGAGAAACACAGAGCAGAATGTCTGTACCAAGTCTTGTCTGTTCCATCTTGGAATTATGAGAAGAGCCTCCCCTGGCCCCTGGCCAGAGGTGCTCTTGACAAACACTGGCATCTCCCTGTGCCACTACCCAGGTATAGGCCACTGATATTAAGGTGCTTTTATGGGGTGACCCTCTGAGGCCATTGCCATCATGGGAAAAGATCTGCATCCATTTAAAGAGCGGATAACTCTGGTACATTCTGTGTCTCTCACTATCCTACTTGGTATTTTCCTTTGAATATGTGCCAATTTGTCCAGGTCTCCTTTAAAATGTGGGCCTTAAAACTAAGCAGAGCCCCATAAAGGAGATGTGCTGTGATGTAAAATGGGACATTCCTTTGTTCCTTCCACTCTACTTTCATCTCTGCAGACTACATTAGAATTAGCTTTTATACCAACCACATCACACTACTGACTCATCCAGTTTGTGGTCCACTAAAGCCCTTCATGTTTTTTTTTTTTTTTGAGTGTTGCAGCTAAGGCATTATCTTTCCCCATCTAGGATTGTTCATTTGTTTGTCTGGCTCTGTGAATTGGTATGTGGACATTTGAGCTGATTATAAATAATTCAGGAACATGTAATCTGGTTCTACAATACAAATCATAAATATAAGATAGTGTGGTTTCTAAATTTGGGCACAGGGTGTTGGTTCAAAATGCCTACCCTTGGAGCTCCACCCTCAAAGGGTCTGGCTCAGTAGGTCTGGGGTGAGGCCTGCACCAGTCATGTGGGGTGACTGTGACATGCAGGGGTCAAGTGGGCTGGCTTGGAGAAACACTAGGGGACGCAAGTGGCTAGGAAATGCTTTGCTCACAGGGGGGCTATGCGGTGGAGCTGGGCACTTGAGCTGGGCACTGAAGGGTAGAGAATGGGGAGGAGAAAGACTGAAGGTGGTGGCGGGGGCATCTACGAATTGCTTAATGGCAGCAATGAGCACCACTGTTTGTAAGCTTTGTCTTGTCACTTTCCCCAGCTCCTTGCCTAACAAGGTAACAGAACAGATGAAATACGATGATTGTCATAGAAGAACTACTATATTTTATTTTAAAAACACAGTTTTGGAGCATACAGATTTGATAACAATTTGATAACAACTGTTAAAACAGAGTTTTGACGGCAGGATCATATTAAAACTCAAAGCCTCCTGACATTCTCTTCTTCCCATGGAAAGCTGTTAGATACTTGCAGTTGACCTAATGGAAACCTGTGAAATTGCTCACCTGGGCCCCATGTTCTGTGGATTTCTGGGTTAGTACTAACTGGAAAATGTACAAAGGCTTTAAGTCACTATTAACTTGTCAACCAAGAAGACTGAAGCAGCTGTATGGTCATGCATGGTCATTCTGATTTAGTTCAAAGAGTTAGGATTGAAGTTCATAGAATTTTACTTTCTATTTTTAGTTATATCACTTTTATAATAAAAAAATAAAATAAGGTAAAATATATCTACATATATTTTGTTATTACTGTGTATTATACTCAGAATCTTTAGAGGCATGCATACAGTCCCACAGATTTCAGAAAATATAGAAATCCTATATGAAATTCAGATCTTAATAGTATTTTAACAGAAAAAAATCCACTGGAAACTCCCTTGATATCTAAATATCACATACAGTGGATTAAGAAAACCAAAAAGTTTCCAACTTGGGCAGATTTTCAGGGATTTTTAATTATGATTAGGCTAGAAATGAGCTGACAACCACAAAAGTCATATGGCAGTTTCAATTCTCCTACTATAAAATATATCATGTAAAATCATATTGTGAACACAAAATTGATCTTTCTGCAGTCTCAGTTTTCCAATCTGTATGTCAAAAATGAAAATCAGTAACTTCTTTAAAGGAAGAATCACAACTCCTTGCCCAACTATTAATATATAAACTGTAATTATGTATTATATATTTCAGTGAGGATAGCTCGTGAAAGTAAGCTTTCCAGCAAATTGCCCTCTTTAGAAATCTTTCAGATTCACTAGGATCAGATTAATACTTTCAACAATTCCTAACATAGTATTGGGATTAATCTAACATATAAAAAAAGCACATAGAAACACGAAAAGTTAGAAAGCCCCCTGCTACTGCACCCCTCCAGGTAACAAAATGTAGAGTCCCAGAGTGGAAAACTATGAGTGCAAGGAAAGAATCTAAGTAATTCCACATAAAACTCTCCAATTGTGAGCCCAGAGTAAAAAATGTTATGTTTTGAATCAAACTCCTAGGACTACTTCTTGTAAAAGGGGAAGCACGGATTTGTACTACAGATCAGGAGAAAGCTAATTCCCATGATGACTGAAATTCTTCAACAGGGTATGAAATCAAGAAGGCGTTCTTACTTTGGTCCTAAATTCAGTGGATGCCCCAAATCCAAAGAGGAATCTTACGACGTCATTGTGGCCTTGTTGGGCAGCAAAAAACAGGGCGGTTGTACCTGACTGGCAGAGAGAGAAAGTCTGGTTTAAAAAGATATTTGGTTATATTACATTTGATCTGTACATCTGCAAACCAAACAAAACAATATCCTTGCAGGTAAACCCTCTAGCCTAGGAAGGAGCTACATTTGAACTGATTCTATTCCTTAGTCGGAGAAGTAACAAAATGAAAGGAGCATTTAATTCTTGGTGTAGTGACCTTATACGGCAAGAGATGTGATTAAGTTAATGATTCGGACAGAAGACGTTTATCCTGGGTTACCTGGGTGGGCCCTAACTCCAATGATAAGTGTCTTTCTAACAGTGAGGCAGAAGCAGCTTCACAAACAGCTAAGCAACTGAAGTGTTGAAGCAACTGAAGTGTCATCTACAGATGAATGATTAGTCAAAATGCGGTATATCCAGACAATGGAATACTATTTAGCCTAAAAAGGAAGGATATTCTGACATATGCTACAGCATGGATGAACCTTGAAGATACTACACTAAGTGAAATAAGTTAGTCAGGAATGGACAAATAACTCTATGATTCTACTGTGGTATCTAAAGTAGTCAAATTCACAGTAGGATGATGGTTGCCAAGGGTTAGGGGGAGGGGAGAATGGGGAGTTATTATTTAATGGGTACAGTGTTTCAGTTTTACAAGATGAAAAGAGTTGCAGAGATGGATGGTGGTGATGGTTGCACAACAGACATTATGAATGTATTTCATACCACTGAACCGGACGCCTAAAAATGGTTAAGATGGTAAAGTTTATATTACGTGCATCTTACCAAAATAAAAAAATAATAAATGTTTAAAACAGAGTGAAGCAGAGGGGTATCTGACACAAAGAATGGGCAATGTGACCGCTGGCGCGGAGGCTGAGAGCTGTGGCCACAGGAATGCTGATGGCCACCAGGAGCTCATGGAGGAAGGAAGGGAACCTCCTCTGGAGCCTCCAGGTGGAGCATGAACCTGCCCTCACCTTGGTTTTGGAATTCTGGCCTCCAGATCTGTGAGAGAACACATTCCTGCCATTTGAAGCCATCTGGTTTATGGGAATTTGTTACAGCAGCCACAGGAAACTAACTAACTATATTTGGCATGATGTTTGGGAAACACCAGCATTCATTAATACAGGGAAGAAGTCTGGTTACAGAATTTAGTGCCCTAGAGTAGAAAGCTATGAGTGCAAGAAATAATCTAAGTAATTTACCCACAAATTTCTCTAGTGGTGAGCCCAGAGTAAAACAAGCTCAAAATATTTTCTCAAAATTGGACATATTAACAAGAAACAGCCTGGTTTTAAATTTTAAAGTGGTCGGGATATTCTGAGACACAATTTTTAGCATCCTCCCTTTTAAGCTACAAGCCTACAAAAGATTGGTACCAAACTCATTGTGTAATATGAGGAAAATCATGATACACTCTTGTGGGCAACATATACTTTTTCTGTAAAGATACTCTTCACTTCTGGACTTTGAACTTGGGATGAAACTAATACCACTTTCCCAGGCACAGTGAAAAAAAAAAAACAACCCTCTTTCCACAGTTTACCTGGAACTGTTCAGGTGGCAGGTCTCACTCAGGTGTGAGAAGCCCAAGACAGCATGTCCTATTGACTACTGATCACTCTAAAACTTTTCCTTGAGGGCGTGTGTGTGTGTGTGTGTGTGTGTGTGTGAGAGAGAGAGAGAGAGAGAGGAGGGTGGGAACAGTGAGGACCACCACTGTGGCAGAACACCTAACCCCTGCCCAGATATAACCCTCTATCTCAGGCTGTGCCCCCACCCGGACTCTTCCCCAGGAAGGCACAGGTATTGTGACCATCCAGAAGGCCTTTCTGCTTGCAATGCAGGGGTGATTTTCTCCTTGGTTGCCACAGAAACGAGTGGGAAGCACCCTCCCATTGCTTTCTCACAGCGGAGGAAACTAGGTTCCAGAAATCTTAAGCTATAAACAGGTCCGCATGCAGAAACTTGGCTAGAAGAGGAAAACTCTTACCTTTTTTTTCCTACATAGTTATTTATTTTTTATATTAAGGGGGTACCAATGTTTTTGTTACATGGATAGCTTTTATAATGCATTAGTCAGGGCTAGAAGTGTGCCCATCACCTGGATAGTGTTCACTGTACCTGTTAGGCAGGTTTTTATCCCTCTCCTTCCACCTCCCTGATTTCTGATGATATTTACTTCTGTGCCCACGTGTGCCCACTGATTAGTTCCAAATCACCGTCCTAATAGAAAGTACATTTTATTTATTTATCTATTTATTTATTTATTGCGATAGTCTCTCTCTGTTGCCTTAGCTAGAGTGCCGTGGCATCAGTCTGGCTCAGAGTAACCTCAAACTCCTGGTCTCAAGGGATCCTCCTGCCTCAGCCTTCTGAGTTGCTGGGACTACAAGCACGCATCACCATGACCAGCTAATTTTTTCTATTATTAGTAGAGATAGGGTCTCACTCCTGCGCAGGTCTCAGGCTGGTCTCCAAATCCTGAGCTCAAGAGATCCTCCTACCTTGGCCTCCCAAAGTGCTAGGATTACGGGTGTGAGCCACTGCACCCTGCCAGAAAATAAATTTTAGAGACTACCATGTGTCCTTTTTTTAGGATTTGTTTCTTTATTATGAGAAAGGACTGGTTTTTCAATAAGCTTTCTTGATATACTAATTACAAAAATCATAATCACAGCAGTTTGAGCCAATTTTGGAATATACTTACTATCAATCATTACGCACATTAATTCAGCAACTCATAGACACCAGGAGCTGGAATATGAATAAAGGTATATGCGTGTGCTTCACACCAACTGCATTTGCAGCTCCTATGCCTGAGGGGTATAATCAGTTAATACCGCTGGCTCTTTAATGCTATGGTCTTCAGGACCACTAGCTTCCATTTGCTTCTCCAGCAAGCTCTGTGTATCTAGACAGCTAACCTAAGAAAACAATGGCAGGTAGTTTTTCAGGAAACAAATATTCTGATATTGCAAAATGGATTAACAATGGACCAAGGTAGAAGTCTGCTGTGAGAGTAAGTTCCAAAGCACAGCAAGGCCCTCTCTTTCAGCTTCTAGAACAGCTTAACGTGGCTGGGGTCTCCCTGTGGCTGAGCAGCCCTATCGCCCCAGATTGGCACAGTGTCAGGAAATTCCAGGGACTGCCAGAAAGTTGCATAGCACCTTCATTTGAGCCACACAGGTTCCCTCTAAGCTGAGTACACTTTGGAAAGTCCTCAAGGGCCATTGTTCTCAGTGTAGAAGAGCTTTCCTCTCCAAGATGAGTTGAGCAATTGGATCCAAACAAATAGATAAATATAAAAATCACAAAAACCATACACTGACTTGTAATCAAATGCTTCTCCCTTCTCCCTGCTTTTCTCAGTTGTTCTAAAGATATTTTCTTTTGTGCATGTTGAACCTGCCCTTAAGGATAAAGTTTTCTGAGTAAATAGATTTGGACCATGTTGTTGTTGTTTTTTTTTTTCTTTTTTTTTTTTTTTTGTTTAATTTTTTGAGACAGAGTCTCGCTTTCTTGCCTAGGCTAGAGTGAGTGCCGTGGCGTCAGCCCAGCTCACAGCAACCTCAAACTCCTGGGCTCAAGCAATCCTTCTGCCTCAGCCTCCCGAGTCGCTGGGACTACAGGCACGAGCCACCATGCCCGGCTGATTTTTTATATATATATGTATTAGTTGGCCAATTAATTTCTTTATATTTTTATAGTAGAGACGGGGTCTCGCTCAGGCTGGTTTTGAACTCCTGACCTTGAGCAATCCGCCCGCCTCGGCCTCCCAGAGTGCTAGGATTACAAGCGTGAGCCACCGCGCCCGGCCGACCATGTTGTTTTTATTAGAGAAATCTGTCTTTTCTTTAAAATTGTAATAAACAAGGACTATAAAGCAGAGAGGGAAAATAAAAAGACTAGGGTAATTTTCAACTATTAAATATAATTCTAAATGGGTTCGAACATTTCCGTCCCAGAGGGAAATTAAGTGCTGAAGTGAAAATGACCTGAAACAATGATCTAGTGTTATGCAAACTGCTCACAGGGATCTGTTTGTGAGAAGATTGCATTTGCCGTAGTCTCTCTGTACTGCTCCTCTCAACAGAACAGACTTACTGATCCAGGGCTACAGAGAACCAGACCCCAGGTTCCCTCTGCCAAGTCACTCTTTTGAATGGTCCGCAGCCAAGGCCACCAATACCCAGAGGGGGATGGGAGGGGTGTCTGCATGTGCCTGGGAACTCTTGCCACAGCCTTATACCTGATGTGTCTAACTTTGCTTCTCCCAGGGGTGGCGGTCCAGACAGGAAGAAGAGGATATGTTGGCCTGATGAAAGCTTGGTTTCTGAAACAACTGTAAGGCAGGACCTGAGATAAAATGAGGCCAGAGCAAGGAAAACCAAGTCTGGTTTGGAGCTTGCCCAGAACGCTCACGTCAGGCCTGAGCCAGTGTGAACTGAGGTCAGATGCACTCTAGGGACCACCTGAGCGTGTGTCTCCACAAAGGTTAGTTTACCAGGTCCTAGGGTGATTCAGAAAGAAATGGAGCCTTCTCAGACCCAAACCCCAAAGCATATTAAAATGCCCCAGCTTCCCTACTGCTTCTCTAGATTGAACCAAGAAAGGATCCTCTGGCAGGAACAAACTCCCCAAACTGACCTTGAATGAAGTGTGGGAACAGGCTTGCATTTTAGTGTTTGCTTACATGGCTTTTCTGGGGAGAGCCTATTTAGCACATGGACAGTCAGAGAAATCCTTTGAAAACATAGTTCGGCAAGGATGATTGAGATGTCCTAGCAAGTGTGTCTCATTACAAATAGGTTAGTAACTCAATGCTTCTAAAAATATAATAATCTCTATGGAAATCCTATAAATTCTATAGCATCTCATCCCAAGGGAAGAAGGAAGAACTGATTTAAGCTCAAGACAAAATATATCAATGGTTAAGAAATGTGGTAAGAGGTTTGGTTACCTCAGACATACCCGACAAGACACACTCAACTGCAATACAACCAATGGTGCATTCCTGGACCTTATTTTGGGCACAATAAACTCTGTAATGGGCTTTAATGGAGGAGGAGAACAATGAAGACTCTTGTCCTCTGTACCAGTTCACCATTACAGAAACTTCAGATCTCTGAGCATGGTCATTTTTATTCAAGCGCAAAGCATGACCTACCTCTCTTTGGAGATTGATGTCTGCTCCTTGCAGTACCAGTTCCCTCACGCAGTCTATGTGACCAGCGTAGGCTGCGACCATCAGGAGGGTGGTGCCATACTGGATGGAGGAGAGACAGATGAACAGTTAGGCCATCACTATGTCAGAGAGAGGGGTCAGCTCCACTCAGAACACAGGCAGGGGCAAAGTTTCCTGCAGTGATAAAAGTGCCTCATAAATAACCTTATAACAAAGAGGAGAAGGGAAAAAGCAAAGTGATAAATTGCTGAGGTTGGAATTTTCAATTTAAAAATTCACTTACTTCTATTACATTCAGAAACACAATCCAAATGAACCATAGTTATGGCATTTATATACTGCAGTGATATAATGGTCTCATTTTATGATGTAATTAACACACACAAAAAAGGGTTAAATGGGACCATTGGTTTTCTGTATTTAAAAGTCTTTTTTTTTTTTTTTTGTGAGACAAGGTCTTGCTCTTTTGCCTGAGCTAAAGTGCAGTGGTGTCATCATAGCTTACTGCAACCTCAAACTCCTAGGCTCCAGTGATACTCCTGACTCAGCCTCCCAAGTAGCTGGGACTACAGGCATGCACCATCACACCCAGCTAATTTTTCTATTTTTTGTAGAGATGGGGTCTCAATCTTGATCAGGCTGATCTCAACCTTCAGGCTTCAAGCAATCGTCCCTCCTTGGCCTTCCAAAGTGCTAAGATTATAGGCATGAGCCACTGCACCCAGCCTAGAAGTCTTTATTTTTTTATTTATTTTTTTTGACACAGAGTCTCGTTTTATTGCCCAGGCTAGAGTGAGTGCCGTGGCGTCAGCCTAGCTCACAGCAACCTCTATCTCCTGGGCTCAAGCGATCCTTCTGCCTCAGCCTCCCGAATAGCTGAGACTACAGGCATGCGCCACCATGCCTGGCTAATTTTTTTTCTATATATATTAGTTGGCCAATTAATTTCTTTCTATTTATAGTAGAGATGGGGTCTAGCTCTTGCTCAGGCTGGTTTCCAACTCCTGACATCAAGCAATCCGCCCGCCTTGGCCTCCCAGAGTGCTAGGATTACAGGCGTGAGCCACCGCGCCCGGCCCTAGAAGTCTTTATCTTCAAAATGATTCAGGTAAAGACAGATGGCACTGTGGTGAAATGAGAGACTACAGAACTGAGAGGCAAGAGCTGGGGGTAGGGGGGTCCTAAGTCCACTTCTGCCATCAGCCAACAGTGTAACCTGGGGCAAGTTGCTTACAATTACTGGGACTCATTCGCTTCATCTTTAAAATGAGGGGATGGGTGGGATGATCACCAAGGTCTCTTCCAGCTTTAAGATTCACATGAGGCACACCATGTGATGTCGACCCTTTCAACTGAAATGAACCTTTGCAATTTAAGGTTGTTTTCAAGGCCTTGAAATCACAATCTTAACTACCACCTCTGCATATTTAGCAACCTGCCTCTCAGAAGCGGATGACAAAGGCAGATGGCTCTGTACATGAGGAAGGCTCACTAGGTATAGGATGATTAAGTGAATGCTGGAGGCTTTGCGTCATTTCCATCAGCGGGATTTTGTGGGAGGCCAGTGTGATTGAGTGGTCACTGACAGTAAGTGAGGTAAGTCAAGCAATGTGCTTAGCATAGTAATGTTAGATACCAGTTCAGTGAATGTTAGATTAGAATAATATTGTGATAGTTTAGTAAATGGTAGGTTATCATTTGGCTTCTGTTGACTTCTGTGAGTGACCATGCTAGTTTTGAGAAAGTTTTGTTTGCTTTACATAAAAAGTATAGGTGGAATCGAGAAAAGCTACTGGCTTCACAATAGTGCTTTATATTTCTTCTACCCCATGTGACCATATTCAGCATTTGCATGTAAGACTCTTATATAGGCTATGCTATCCATTATTCAGTTGAATGCCTTTCTTGGTATTCTGCAGGGTTGGCATGGCAAGCTTGGTAATATTAACTTCCTCTTTAATGTGAGAAATTTTTATTTAGATAGCAGATAGGGAGAATCCTTGGTGTTATGGTCTGAATATGTCCTTCCAAAATTCATGTTGTATCCTAATCCCCACTGTGGTGGTATTAAGAAGTGGGGTCTTTCAGGAAGTGATTAAGTCATGAGGGCTGCACCTTCATGAATGGGATGAGTGCTCTTACAAAAGAGGCTGAAGGGAGCTCCTTGCTCTCTTCCACCACGTGAGGACACAGCAAAAAGTGGCCATGTACGAGGTAGAAGCCCTCACAAGAAACCAAATCTGCTGGTGCCGTGATCTTGGATTTCCCAGCCTCCAGAACCATAAAAGACAGATTTCTGTTGTTTATGAATTACCCAGTATTTTGTTATAGAAACCTGAATGAACTAAGACACTTGATTTAAAGCCAATCTGACTAGATAAGCTCTGAATATATCCTTTTACATGAGAGTTGAGAAAGTTTTTTATCATGGGTCACACTAATCTCACAATAAAAATCAATCACTTAATTTGGGTATTTTAAAAAAGAAATAAAAAATGTTAGGCTCATCTGTTTTAAAGATAAGACAAATCAAATAACAAAAAAAACTCCTTTATAGACAATTTCAATTCAATTGACATCATGGTTAATTGAGACAAAGTCAGGTTGGGACAAAGGAGAATAAAGAAGTGTTATATTAAATTGTACAAAATACTTCATATTTAAAACCTATTAGCTTGATCGATTTTAATTCTGTAAATATTAAGGTTACTTCATTTCATTGGATGGTGTTAAAAAGTATCCTTTAAAAACTAACTGGTTTTGAACAGAGCATATATAAATACATTACAATGTAGTGAAGTCCAAAACAAAAATGGCAATGAAACACATATGTTAATTCATGTGAAGAGGATAAAAGAATCTTGCCATTGTACATCCTGGTGGTAGATGCATGTCAGAGAGATGGGCAAAGCAAAATATGTGAACATCATGGAAAGATGGCATTAATCTAGGAACCAAAGATGAATAGGTGTTAGGGAACCAAAGCTTTGGTCCATAGTGAGTGGCCTTGACATAAAATATTTGTTCTTCACAATGCTATTTGTTGGAAAAGTCTGAACAGAGTCATACTCAAGGTTAGGAACAATTCCCAAGAACGCCCCATAGGCCTCTCCTTGCATTGCAATGGCTCTTACAGGCTTCCTAGGTGACCCTGGGGCTTGGCCCCACTGGCGAGGGCAGTCCTAGCCTAGAGATCAATTAGTACCATAAGAAATCGTCCTGGCCGGGCGCTGTGGCTCACGCCTGTAATCCTAGCTCTTGGGAGGCCGAGGCGGGCGGATTGCTCAAGATCAGGAGTTCAAAACCAGCCTGAGCAAGAGCGAGACCCCGTCTCTACTATAAATAGAAAGAAATTAATTGGCCAACTGATATATATATAAAAAATTAGCCGGGCATGGTGGCGCATGCCTGTAGTCCCAGCTACCAGGGAGGCTGAGGCAGAAGGATCACTGGAGCCCAGGAGTTTGAGGTTGCTGTGAGCTAGGCTGACGCCATGGCACTCACTCTAGCCTGGGCAACAAAGCGAGACTCTGTCAAAAAAAAAAAAAAAAAAGAAAAAGAAATCGTCCTGGAACCTGCACTCCACGTTCAGGTGGCACGTGGAGGAAGCAGAAACCCAGCCAGTGACATTCTGCAGGGAACAAAGGACTGCACTGTTTTCAAACATCTCCCTACCCTCAGTCACCACCACCGTTAGAGGCCTTTTCAAAATAAAGGAGATACCTGAAATTACCATCACTTAGACTTGCTCCTTTGGGTTAAGGAATCATTTATCTAGAAAGCTTCTGATAAGAAGAGTTCTTGTTTTAAATAAGGAGGAGTAACCTATAAACATATTAGTGTCTATTCATAGAAGCAAAATTTTTGTCACAATAGCTACCGGTCTCCCAGCAGACAGGACAGGGTGTGAGTTCTGAGGGGAAGGCAGTGGCAGGACAGATGGCTCCTGGTGTGGAAAGGGAGCTGAGAAGGCCGAGAGTGTGGTGAGCAGGATGTGTGTGGCACTGCCGGGCAGCCCTGGAAAGCTGGAAGCCAGGAGGAAGTCGTAGTGATGTCTGAAAGGGGTGGCTTCCAGGAAAAGAGGAAAACTGTTAATGAAAGTGGTCAGTGGGTGAGGCCACAGTGAAAACTGGTGCTGTCACCCCACAGTTTTGCCCAGCATGGGGTAGGAATTGGTCCAGTGAGACCTGAGTAAGACTGGGATGGCCAGGTCACAGATGCCCAAGACCCCATGTCAGCCTGAGTTCTGGCAAGAAACAGATGATACTTTCAAACTGGGATGATTGGAAGAAAGTTTAATAAAGAGACTATTTATAAAGCTGTGGCCTGGGTGTAGGAAGACTACAAAGAACAGTGTAGCACTGGCAGCTAGGAACAGCGGGGCTCTGGGAAGGCTCTGCGTTGAAGGCACCATGGGAAGGTGGTGGCTCCCAGGCAGCAGAGAGCGGGGACACCCCTGTCAGACAGAACAGGGAGGGCGCTAGGCTCCCTAATGTCCCTTTCCTCCCACCCTCTGACTCCCGCCAATGTGCCACGGGCCAAACCCAACTGGAGGCTGCTGGGGCAGTCCACATAGTTCAGTCTCCAGGACACGGAACAAGAAGGGTGTGGAGTGGATCTAGAGTTGCAAGCCAAAGACATCCTGCCACAGTGCCCCAGTGGCAAGTTGGGACAGTCGCTGCTATTTATATTTCACTGGTGGAAGATTTCATTTACCAAATTTGTGCAACAAAAGCTGGAAATGGAACACCATATTTTCAGGGAAACATTAAGGTTCCTTTGAAAACATTTTTATTCAAATCCTGAAATCAAAATACCTCTGCTTACTCTCTCCCTTCATGTGAAGGCCTCCTTGTCCCCACAGATGTGAAGAAGTCCTGCTGAGCACAGAGAAATTACTGCTTCTAGCTGTGGGTGGAGGGGCAGAGGGGGGGCGCTAAGTGGTGCCTGATAGTGGGCAGTCGTATCCATTGTTATTTCCCCTTCTGAATCGCCAATTAATGTATTTATGTTTGCAGAAAGTAATGAAAGGATAAGAAGCTGGGTGGAGGTTTTCATTTCTCAGTTTTCTCATCCTCGTAGAAAAAACATAACTCCCACATCCATGCAACCCACTTGTGCTCTATATTATCTCCATCTTTTCACGAAAGCAGTTGGTTTGAATTCTTTGCCTCAATAGCATTTTTCTTCTTGTAAATTGCCAATTTGGATTCCTAGGGTAGTGCTTCTTTCTCTACCGTGGCTGCCTCCTGTTTTGTGCACGTAATTCCTTTCCTCTCTGACTTCCCCCAGTTATGTTTTTAAGTTCACGACAATGCCTTGGGCATTTTGAAAAGGATAAAGTGAGCAAACACAGGAACGAGCAAACGAGCATCATAAAGGGAAATGTATGCATGGGGGCTCTCACGCCCACAGAGGGCGACGGTGTGCTCAGGGCATGCGTATACCGGTCCTCCCGTACACTGTCTCTGCAGTCCACGTCCACCCGGCCGCTGTTCAGCAACAGCTTCAGCAGTGCCAGGTTTCCTCTCCTTGCTGCCCAGAACGCGGCGTTGGCAAGTGGAGTTTCCTTCTGCAAGAACAAAATGAAACGGGATCTTAAAATCGACACTTGTTAACATGACCGCTTTTACGCAAATAGATAATACCATTCCAAAAGGGGAATTTCCAGAAGTGTTGTATTCTTTGCAAGACTGTTCCCCCAGCAATAGATGATTATAATATATATACTTCATTATAGAATGTACTGTTTGATCCCAGACACCTGAACCACAATGTGGTCATGCAGGGCAATGTTCTTAATACGGCACTATTAATAATCTATTTCTCACTAATGTTCTTACCTTCCTGCCTCTGTTGTATCTTTGTTCACACAGTTTCCTTTTTACTTGAAATGAATTTTCCGTCACCCTTCAAGGCCAAGGTTCTTTTCAAACACTATTTCCTCCCTGAAACATTCCAAATCTCTTTTTACCTCCAAACAGGGCAAAGTTTCTCCCAATTCTACCTCCCAAAGGAGTTTACTTGCCCCGCCCCCCTTTTTTTTGGTGGGGAGTGGAGACAGAGTCTTGCTCTGTCACCCTGGCTAAAGAGCAGTGGCATCAACTGACCCTTTTTACACCCTCAGTGCTTTCTGTCTGATTCCAGCTATCTGGGTAAATGCCTCACTTTCCCCCCACCTAATTTTCTTTGCCTCAGCTGGAACTGTCAAAGGTTTCAGTCGAGAACCAGGAATTTAGGGCAGAGAATGCCATTAGTTGTCCTTGTATGGATCCTTCACTCTCCTGCTGGGTCATTTTAAATCCGCAAAGTTAGTGTCGGAGCCATACTTTCCATAGAAGGCATAGAACTGGGAAACAGTCTTCCACATGTGTGGCAGAGCTGACTGTAGTACAATTTCCTTCTCTCAAACAAATCGATTTGGATTTGTAGAGAAGAGTCCAGGAGAGGGAGGGCTGGCTTTGGGCCTGGACAGCTCTGGGTTTCAGTCGAGCCCCGGGCAAGTGACTAGGCCCTTGGGAATCTCAGTTTCCTTCTGCCTAGATGGAGATCACAGTAGCTGCCTTGAAGTTTGTGATAAGGATTCAATGATGTACATTGATTGCCTCATACAGTGCCCAGCACACCGCAAATGCTGACAAGCGTGGGTTTCCTTTCCTCTAGTTTTCTTTACAAAGTCAATCAATAGGCACCGTTAAATTCTTTTTTTTTTTTCCCCCCAAGAAAATGCCAGCAAGTAAGGCAAAGTTAAATTCAGGGTGCTGATACCAATAAAGAATTTTGCTGGTTTCAGGATATTTTAGAACATTCACTTTGTTTAATAAAGGCACTTTTTTGGATGGGTTTAAAATATCTACTGATCCAAAAGGACTTTCACGCATTATGTATTTTAAATATGTTGATATTGTATTAATATTACATACAATGCTATACTAAGTTAAAAAGAAAACACCAACAATTCCAGCTGCTCAATGGAGCCATCTGGAATGAAAGGACAGCGACAGCAGAGTGATGACAATATTTGTTGGAGCCAGGATTGCATTTCAGAAGTCCTTCAGCACATAAGCTTATGTGCTTGTACATACTTGGATGAGAGAATGGCAAGGCAGGGAGAGATAAGCAGATAGCAAACATACTTGGAATAGTTTCTGGCTCATTCTGGAGGGGAAAAAATCACCTCAAACTCCAGATTGACAATTTGCCTTCTCTGAGGTGTAAATTTTACTGTCCTGGAGTTTCCAAGCCAAACTGCAACCGTGGTGTTCACACTAGCGTTGGTGCCTTGGCGCCAAGCTAGGTCTAACTTATTACAGCTGTTAGTAACTATAGTGAATGTATCAGCAAAGCAGGTTTGACCTGTAAAAGAAATCACTGAGAAATGCCTTTTTTTTTTGAGACAGAGTCTCACTCTCTTTCCCAGGCTAAAGTGCCATGGCGTCTGCCCAGCTCACAGCAACCTCAAACTCCTGAACTCAAGCAATCCTCCTGTCTCAGCCTCCCGAGTAGCTGGACCTACAAGCACGCACCACCGTGCCCAGCTAGTTTTTTCTATTTTAAGTTGTTTTGGCTAATTTCTTTCTATTTATAGTAGAGACGGGGTCTTACTCTTGCTCAGTCTGGTTTTGAACTGCTGAGCTAAAGCAATCCTCCTGCCTCGGCCTCCCAGAGTGCTAGGATTTACAGGCGTGAGCCACTGTGCCCGGCCATAAATCACCGAGCAGTGCCCTTTTTAACAAAGAGAATGCACAAGGCCAGAATGAAGTCTAGGAGGGTGAATTAGGAAGAGAATTTAATATGCATCATGGAACAGCTATGCTGTCTTTACCAGAAATGTAAACACGAGAGTGATAAATTATAATTCATTTCCACTGACTTTGTCGTTTCACTTTAACCCCAAATACCTTTGAAAAACCAGTTGCAAATAGCAAGTATCTATTGTTATAAACAAGTGCTCCAGCCAGGGCCTTTCCTCCCTTTAAGATGGTCCTGGGGATGCTTCCCCTACTGGGCTGTACATCCTGGTTTCCTATAAAGTTCTAGGAACTAAGCTTTGTGAAAAGCTATAAATACCTCATTTTCCCTCAGGGGCTTGATTTCCTGAGAGGTGGAGGCATGATAGAGCAGTTGATCTGGGGTAAGAAAGAGCTGGGTTAAAGCCCAAATCAGTTCCCAGCTCTGTGACTTGGGAAAAGTTATTTAATAACAATATAGGAGCTCTGTTAGGTGTTGTTGGAGGATTAAATGAGGTAATACTCATAAATGCACTTATATAGTATATACACTCAAGCAGTGGTAGCTATAGGCTGGGTGTGGTAGCTCATGCCTGTAATCCTAGTACTCTAGGAGGCCAAGGTGGGTGGATTATTTGAGCTTGGAGTTCGAGACCAGCCTGAGCAAGAGCGAGATCCCGTCTCTACTAAAAAAATAAAAATAAATTAGCTGGACAACTAAAAATATATATATATAAAATTAGCCGGGCATGGTGGCGCATGCCTGTAGTCCCAGCTACCCATAAGGTTGAGGCAGGAGGATCGCTTCAGTCCAGGAGTTTGAGGCTGCTGTGAGCTAGGCTGACACCATGGCATTCTAGCCCGGGCAAGAGAGTGAGACTCTGTCTCAAAAAAAAAAAAAAAAAAAAAAAACCCAAGAAGTGGTAGATATAAATACACAGCCCCTATAGCTCTTTAAAACACTTGTTCAGTCAAATTCATTTACTTGGTCACTAGCATGTGCTAGGGTAGTGGCACCTGGCACTGCCACGACTTAGGGTCTCGTAGTCATGTTATCATAAGTCATGTCAACAGGCATCATAAGGTATGACAGGTGCAAGAGCTGTCATGCAGCTGCTTGTGGCGAGAACACAAGCCAGGGAATGGTCAATTCTACCTGAGAGGGTGGCCAGGAACAGTTTCAAAGGAAAGGAATTCTTCCTTTAATTTTTTTTTTCTTTCTTGCAGTCCATCAAGTGTTTAAGGAAAGGAATTCTTGAGACAAGTTATGAAAGACGAGTAGTGGCCTGGCTGGGTAGACAAGGGGTGCCGAGCATTCCAGGTGGAGAAAGTGGTGAAGCAAAGACTTGGAGCCTTGCCACAGTGTTCTGGGGGTGAGGCAGGCATCACCTGCTGGGCAGGGTGGGAGAGAGGACAAGAGCTGATGCAGGACAGGTGGTCAGGGCCAGATTCCAGAAGCTCTGCTGCTGTGCTACTGAGTTTGGACTTCATCCTGGTGGGCTCTAGAGAGTCCAGGAAGCATTTGAAGGTGGGGAGATGCTATCTGTTTTGCATTTCAGCAAGGAGCCTGTGGCAGCCTCAGGAAGAAGGATGGTGGTCTGGAGTGGTGGTCAGGTGGAGTGGTGGCCTGAGCTGAGGCAGCGGCAGTGGAAATGAGAGGATGGGACAGACTGGAGACATTTTAAGGAGCTAAACTGTATAGTCTTGGTCTGTGATTGTATGTGCAGGAGAGGAGGGAAAAGGGGAGTGCCCTGATTCCCAGGTTTCTGGTTCAAGTGTCTGGGTGATTGTGGTGCCATTCAAGAAAGTAGAAAATACTATATGAAGGACAGGGTTGGGGGGGGGGGGTGGCAAGTTCACCTTTGAATATTCTGAGTTTCAAGTGCCTACAGGACGCTTAGGTGGAAATGTCTAGCAAAGAAATGGGTACAAGTGCTCTTCTCAGCTACGGCTGACACAGTTATTGGAGGTCAGGAAGCTTGAACTAATGCTTATTAAGTGCTTACACTGTTCCATGTGATGTATCTTCTGTGTATACCAGCTCTTTAATCTTCATCATAGCTCAGTGAAGTGGGCCCTATGACTGTCCCACTTTACAGAGGAGGTAAGAAATGGTCAGCCAAGCTGCAGTGCCAGGCAGTGTGTTGCTTGAGGCTGCCCTTTTGACTACTGATCACACTGTTCTGTTTCCTGACAAATTCTTTTTCTATAGACAGCAAGAAAAAAGGCAGCAATGACCCCAAATGACCTCTATCCTATCCTCTACCCCAAGCTCTTCCCTGGCCAAGATGGAACATGCCCAGACTCTCCTTCTGTTTGGGGTCTATACACATCATATTCCCTGGATGACTTCCAAATCTCTGGGTACAATATATACAAAATCATATTAATACATGGTATGGAGTGAGACAGGGGCAAGTCCTTTAGCTTTTAAAGGAAATCATGCGAGTGGAACCACTTTACACAAACTGTAAAGCACTGTAGCAAGTGTGCTATTATTATTTAACCTCTTTCTTGATTTTTCTCATCTCAACAATAAGGCCAATGGGCCTTTATGAGTAACAGCAACAAGAACTAAGGTTGGGATCTTGCTCTGTAGTAGGCAGTGCACTAAGCATTTTAACTGCTTTAACTCAATTCCCAGAACAACCCCATGAGGTAGGTACAGTCACACCCTGTATAATGACATTTTGGTCAACAACAGGCTGCATATATGACAGTGGTCCCATAAGTGTTTTTTCTTTTTAAATAAACTTTTTATTGACATCTATAACATACATACAAACAAGTACACAAATAACAAGTGTACCGCTTGATGAATTTCCACAAAGCCTTCACTCTT